GCCATTTTGCAGATTCAATAAGGTAGCCAAACACAAGATGCAAAAAATTTATAGCCGAATTGATGCATGAGAGAGGGATTACTTTGCAACAAATTTATAAAAGCGAATCATAAAGTCCTGATCATTGTCATAAGTCATATTCATCTTCGCCAGGCATGCAAGGCCAAAACTTGGGTCTGTGGTCAAGAAAAAGATATAACTTTAGAACTCACAGTTAATGTAAAATGGGAATTTTAGTAATTAAAAAATTGCAAATCATTTTCAAGTTATGAAAGTCAGACGGATAGGTCTAATAATACAGCTTCATAACCAAACCATATATATATATATATATACATATATACAGTCTCCTCAGTTTTAGCATAGACAATGAATTTCACAGACATATTATGTTTTGGGGCAAGATACAATCACCACTCAAAAAGAAATGAGACAATAGCCCACGAAACAAAAAGACATGAAAGAAGCAGGCCCTATTTCTTATTATTTTATTTTATACCATGTTGATTCGAGTAGAAAAAAGAATTTGATTCCCTTAAGCAAGATCTCGAATTCAAATCTTGTGAACAAAAAAACAAGTATTGAAAGAGCGTTCTCCCAATTGAAGTTAGACAGAGTCCCAAATGAAGTTAGACACGAGTTGATTTTGAATTAATCGAGACCCAACATGATTAGCTATACAGGAAGTTAACACAAAAAAAACCTATTACTTTATTTTATTTTATTTTATTTTTTAAAATACACCTTTCAGCTACAAAAACTTACCAATCCCCATCTCTAAAAATAGCCCTTCCTGTATCGCAGTGGCAATAGCAACAGCTTCCTGCAAAAATTTTATCTTTAAGCTTTCAGATAATGGTCTTCCTTTTTTTTTCTTTTTTTTTTTCTGCGGCTTCTGATAATGACAACAATATCAATTAATCTTTTGCAAAATCCTTTACTAGACGAAACAAATTTCCATCAAACCCATTTACCCCAACCACGCAATCTGCAAACAGGATAGTAATTTACCGCACATGTAAACCAAATCAAAGAGGAAAACGGACCTGTTTGTCATTCACGGCATCCGGAATCCTCTTCTTCACATCTGCCAAGGGAAGAAACGATTAAGGAGAGCCGAAACAAAAAATCGGAAAAGAAAAAAAGAGAACGAAAAATGTACCCGACTGCGAGGTGAGAAAGGCGAATCCATCGAATAGATATAGCAACTGTTCTCTCAACAGCATTCCAGAGCTTCGCAGCTGACCATTGTACATTGATGAAGACGACATTGTAGAATTTGTTCTTCAAATTACGATTTACAACACCCTAAATTTTGAAGACAAAAGACAGGCGATTTGTTTATGTCCCTTCTTTCCCTTTCTCATTCAATACACAAACCCCACAACAACGTCTGTGTACAATTATAAATTTTGAAGCAAATTGACTCAGAAGAACAACAATTCAACATCGAATTTGATTCAAGAAAAATAATAAATAAATCACAAGTATGCAAACAAAAAATTTTATAATATATATTACTATCATTTTAAATTTCTGAGCAGCAAATTGAAATTCAAACACAAAAATACACAGAGAAAAAGGCAATTCGACAACCCAGGAGAGCATAGCAAACCCTAAAAGTCTTCGTCGATTTTGAAGACGTGGGTCGCTCCGTTCCCGTTCAAGCTTGACATAACGGCAGCCTTCTGATACTCCCCCACTCTCTTCTCAAAGAAATTCGTTTTCCCCTGCAACGAAATCAGCTCCATCCAATCGAACGGATTCGCCACACCATACATCTTCCCGTACCCTAACGCTCCCAACAACCGATCGGCGACAAACTCGATGTACTGACTCATTAACTCGCCGTTCATCCCTACCAGCGCGCACGGCAGCGCGTCGCAGACAAACTCCCTCTCGATGTCCACCGCGTCCTTGACGATTCCTCGCACGCGCTCCTCACTTAGCTTCTTCTTTAGAAGACTATACAGCAAGCAGGCGAAATCGCAGTGGAGGCCTTCATCCCGCGAGATCAACTCGTTGGAGAAGGTAAGCCCCGGCATTAACCCACGCTTTTTTAGCCAAAATATAGCACAGAAACTTCCAGAGAAGAAAATCCCCTCCACGCAAGCGAAGGCGATTAATCTCTCCGCGAAGGACTCAGATCCGTCTATCCATTTCAACGCCCACTCAGCCTTCTTCGCTACGCAGGGCACCGTTTCGATGGCATGGAAGAGCCTGTTCTTTTCACCGGAATCCTTAATGTAGGTTTCGAGGAGGAGACTATACATCTCGGAGTGGATATTCTCGATTGCGATCTGGAAACCATAGAAGGCACGAGCCTCCGCGACTTGGACTTCCTTCATGAACCTGCCCGCGAGGTTCTCAAGGACGATTCCGTCCGAGGCGGCGAAGAACGCGAGGACGTGAGTGATGAAGTGACGCTCGTCGTCGGTGAGGGCTTCCCAGTGGCGTAGATCCTGTGAGAGGTCCACTTCCTCGGCAGTCCAGAAGGAGGCCTCGGCCTTCTTGTACATCTCCCAGATTTGAGGGTATTGGATCGGGAACATGCAAAACCGATCCGCGTTGGAGGCTAGCAGCGGCTCTTCTGGAAAAGCAGGCATTTTTGGGTGGGGGGCTTTGATTTTGAGAAAAAGGGAGAGATTTTGAGGTTTC